CTCGAAGATGATCAACCTTTCCCCCAAGATGACACAGCCCCTTCTCCAAGACGACCTATCTTATTTTCAAAGATGATCTAACATTTCCTTCAACATTTGTCAACATTGGATCCATTATTTTAGGTTTTATTCAGATGTGTGATTGTAGCTTAGTCAATATTAAAACGTGAATGTGCAGTAAACAACTGTCATAAGTAATAATATTGTTATATGTGAGTAATGGGTGTGTTGCTCGTTCTGTGTAACCTTTGAACAATGTTAGTTTGGTACATCAATATAATTACTGAAAACTATGAATATAGAACGCCATAATTAGATCGTGAAAGAGAGAAATGTAATGTGAACATCACTCTAAAATGCCTCATATTTCCTATCATTAGTGAGTCTAAATGATTATGTGTCCGATTCAATTCATAAAAACGGAATCTACAGAATTAATTCACGGGCGTCTGAAAATGATTTGCATTGTTAATATCTTTCATAATCATTTTTTTTACTACAAAGTAATAATACCTGACAAATATTTCTTGGTTCCGAGTTAAAAATTACATGGAACAAAAATAACACTGGACCAACTGTGTATCAGATACCTCAATATGGTCGTTTCGTATATCACTTTGAGCGACTTCAAATTGAGTTAGGCGCCAACTGATTTCTTGTTATGTGCGGGAAAGTAAAAATTCGGATAAGTTTTTTGTGTGTTCGAAGAAGACCGAGGTTAATAATCAAGGAATGGAAAGGAATTCCAACGTGGAATTCAAGTCTGAAATTATTTACACATACCTAATAATATGAGCACACATCATGTATGTATATTAAGTGCCTGGTCAATACTATTAGCCCAATAGTGTATAGGGTTAATTAATTACGGATACACGTAAATGCTATACAATCAATAAGTTTGTAGAAATAAATATTACACGAAGAAATGACGTAATTTAACACTTTAACATTTGTATTTTCAAAACCCACTCAATCTGGGCGATTACCAGAATTAATCTCCGGGTTGTAACTAACTCAATCTCACGTTGGTCTAACTAACATATTGCATTGCAAAATAAATCCAGGAGGTCAAGGTCAAAGGTGACATGGAAAGATGACACCTGATATATTTGTTAATATATAATTGAGTAATTATTTACTAATGAAATGTACAATGTTAACACCTGATAGTGATACGGCTGAGTAGCAACGCATTAGTGTCACTCTTACTGAACCAACAGACCCGAAACGTATTTTAATATCGAACGAGCAGCTAAAACATCATAAGCGTTTAGGTTAACTATGTTTAAGTGCCTACCGAATAAAATATCACCCAAATGTTACAAATTACCACGAATAGGTGTAATGTACAATTGTATTGGCGCTCATATTGCCATTAATCTGGTCAATAGACGCCACTTTTGCCACTATATATATATATATATATATATATATATATATATATATATATATATATATATATATATATATATATATATATATATATATATATGAACGCTAATGTGATCCACTGTACTTCTCCGTAGCATTCGAAAGCGGCAATGACACCTTTCCAAGCTACAATCGACTGTTCTTATTTTTTGTTATATGCTTATTGTTTACGTATACTTTAACGTAAGTTCTTATAGTAACACAATTTAATTTACAATAATTATGAGAGATAACTGCATTACTGTTAATATTATTATCTTTCAGTTCAACGTAATCTGAGAGTGGACTCGTTTAAAGACAAGGTTTTGTGAAATGCAGCATTCGTTTCACGCATTATGTTAAGAATAAAATGACGTGCAGTAACTTAAAACATGCGTATAATATTGCATCAGTATTTTTTGTATTGAAATATATATTTTTTTTCTCTGCCTGGTTTTTATTTGTTTCACCACAATGATGGATGGATTTATTGATTCATTTTTATTCTTTCTCAATTATTTATACTGTGTATAATATTTAAACTAATAAAATGTATTGTATACCAAAGGTAATCTGAGAATTGTCTACTTATAGGTTTATTTCAATTCAGATAAAATATTGAGACATATTGATTTTTTTCCAGATGGTCTTTTTATTACAATTTCTCCACTTCATAGAATTAAGGTTAATGTTGGGTATTAACGGCAAATTAAAGCCAACGAAGGTAAATGTTTGTTTGTTTCGTGTTTGCTAAGTTCGTTTTACTGTATCATTTATTACCGTTGCCATTGAATGTAATTAGACCTCGATCCGTTGTGCCAATAACCATCGTTCCATGATCGTAAATAGTTCTAATAATGGTAATATCGGAATAAAATTTAGGTGATTTTTGACAGTTTGAATATATTTACAGTTAATGTTTATTAAGTCAATATTTCATGAACAAGTCTTAAAATATTCTATCCCATCAATTATATCATGGCAACATGACTGACTATATCCAGGTCACTGTGGATAACGAGTTGAATATCAGAGTAACCGCAGAGTGTTATATCAAGCTATGGTGTAGTGTGTCCCTAATTGGTAGTGACATTGATTTCAGAATGTCAGGGTCACTCATTCAGCTGATAAATAAATAAATGTACATTAGCAAAATGAAAAAAAAGCTCATAAAGGTCTACCATAAACTCTCAGAGAACGCCTCTTTAGCCATGTACTAAAAATAATAGACGAATGTACTTGAAATATTTGTATTACACACACACATTGAAGTCAGTATAATACTCACGAACAATGTCATTACATCACCAACACGTAAACATGAGCTATTGACCGTATGTACATGTAATGTGTATTTCACACGACAAACAAACAATGCCGTTTATATTTACGTAAAAGACATTCGATTTTGATTTAACCTCAGTTGATTTAATAACTTTAATACTAAGTGCCAGGTCTAGAAATAACTGGAAATGACATCATTCATTGTCCGTACATGTATGTAAGATATGTTATATAATACTGACGATATGTGTATAATAAACAGGTATTATATCATAATATGCTAAAAATCATGATATCCACTTGTAACGTCATGATATTCTCGTTGAACGTCGTGATATCTACGTTGAACGTCATGATATCCACGTTGAACCTCATGATATCAGCGTTAAACGTCATGATATTCACGTTTAATGTTATAATGTATACCATATTGCCTATACAAATACACGAGAACAACAATTCAGAAAACTTCAAATATTTGTTGTAAAGAAATGAATTTAAAGGTTAGCTGAAAAGTATAGAAATCTTATCTGCAGAATGTTCATGCCATAAAGCAAGAGTTGGGTAACTATATACAGCCCTGTGGATACATGGATATTGAGAGTTGAATTAAATTACAGTTACTGTGTTCCTTTAACTCTCTCCATTGTATGCTTAATGATAAATTAGGTTACAACGCAAATTTTGAATAAAACTGAAATAATATTGACACAGTTTTAAAGTGACCAGCAGTTGGAAATGATATGTACTGTGTCTACAGCAGGGTGAATGATATACCCTTATCTACACGTAATTATTGTTGACATGGCTCCCTATATAACTTATAATAGGATTATTGTCGTGTCTTAGAATAGATAACATCTACATAACTTACTCTAGTAGTACAATAATTAGTCTAAATGTCCAACAATATATTTAAATGGTCGTAATAAAGTTACCCATCACATGGATATGTTGTATTAATGTACTACTCGTTAAATGTTGAGTACATGGCATATTGGTTATACGTGCAAAAAGGCGTCGTCTGTGAATTATGTACTTGCAGTGTGAGACATGTAATCGTTAGTAGAAATACAACAGTCTGGTTTGAATGACAACTTGATCCGATATCTTTGTATACGTCACAAGGGACCAATTTCAAACACGACACGGACAGACGACTGTATTTGCCGATTTAAGTTTCCATTTTAATGTATAACAACAGATTGTGACCAAATTGAACCAATCACATGTTAGTATGTATATCAGCAGTTTTTGCCCAACATTTAATTTATCGTATTTTATTTGCTTTATGACACGTGTCAGTCAATGACCATATTTAGCTGGCTTGGTCGAAGAATGTGACGTCACGGATAGTCATGTAGCATAAATTATATTTCGTATCTTATTTACCCAGTGTTTGTTTGCCAGGATGATAGTCATGGCATATTGACATGCAACTTGTCTGCTGGGTTTAATATTCATATTTGTCGTGCAAATAAAAGTATGTTTCTTCAAATTTTCGTAGCGTCCACTGCCATATATTTATCATAAAACATTCTTTTTCTAACTAAGAGATGCAATAAGATGACTAATTGTGAGTTACACAAGTACTATGTTACTATGGTTACATTGTGATATTGATCTAAAATAATTAATATGTCAGAGAATATGTGAATTGTCTAATATAATTAGTTATTTGTGAAATTGTTTTCGAGTCTAAAATCACCAATGTTGGTCTAAGTAAATAGATAACCATCGGAACCGAATGGTTGTAGGCCTTACAATCTTAAACCGCCCATGGTTATAAAACCATGTATGACATTCTGAAATCAAATAATTGATCATCTAGTGGTGGTGGAAAGTGTAAAATTACAAAAAGTAATAAATAGTCATTTAAATAAACTATTAAACCTAAGTCAGAATGTGACTGTGAACACAATTTACAATTTACACAAGTAAATTATTTCTCGATGCAAAGACAAATGTGTGAAGTGTTTTCTCATTAATATGCACAACTATAATCCGTCCGTAATCAGTCCTTGCTATTTAGATTTTACGACTAAAACAGTGATACAAACTACATGGTTGTCATGGCAGTAAATATCTATATTAACCCATATTTTATGGCCAGTCCTGTGAACTATAGGAATTGAAAGTCGTGTACATACAATTCATTTGTTTAATCGATACAACTATGTTTTGCAAATACGGATTGCATTTATATAAACTTTAACATAATTCTGAGTTATAAAAGAGAGCCGTGTTATAAGGTGGTATATTCCACTTGTTACAATGTTACAGTAATAGTAAATGTGACTGACCTTTACTGGTATGCTCTCCGTTTAGCTGACACCGTCGTTGAACCCTTCGCTGTATCACTATCGTGTACGCGCCTGTCAATGTTGGAAGTCGAGTTTACTCTGTTCCGTACTACTTTATATAGAATACATCAAGAAACTCGTCTGCATAATCAGATACGCGTATTTAAATTACCTGATCACATGACATGTAACATGCGTACATAGGTGCATGTCGGGAAGTAACCTGTGATGAGATAGTGTTTCACTGCTTGAACTGTAATGTTCTAAACTGCATTAAACGAGTACTTATTACGAGTCACCAATTCAATTTGATTTCAGTGATCGTTTTCCACTCTTTAATTGTGCTTAATCTTCACGTGTCCACGTGTTGAATATTAACTGACGATTGACCTGTAGGTTGATATGTCTACATAATCGCCTTGTAACCGACAACACCATTAGACATAATTATATCAATTACAAAAGCTTTACTTAATTACAAGTCGGATGTCGTGTTTGCACATTTGGCATTTCTGATGGTGTCGCTTCACGCCAGGGATTGCAACTACCGAATAAGTTTATAATACATAAACCGATCACTAATTTTACTTTCTCCGGCAAATCTATGTATCTATCAATGCACCACGTGACCGACATCATAAATACGCGCTACTCTACAATCACATTTTATTTTTGCTGATAGGCATAGTTACATATTTCAGTCGATGACATCAATTTATCAAGTAAACAATTAAATATATTGTATCGTTTTGTTATAAGGTGGGTGTATGAAAGGCGTGCATTACAGGGTCATGACGTCACGCGTTGACGTGTTCAAGTGCGCGCTCAGTGACGGTATTTGCACGTGGTATTTTCTGAAGTGATAGAATTGTGCAAATGTTTAATACAATTTATAATATCTTAGACATTAAATAGGATATGTAAAATAGCGGTTGGCCATTAAGAAATGCCTTTTTTTTCATCGAGTATATCATCATCTGAGCATGTTTTCTTACAATCGCCGTAGACGGTATAATTGACATTGTTTTCCTGTTCTCGCCAGCTGCATATTTGTACGTTCTTCCCTCGGAGACTGTCTACGTGTTACAACTCTGTCCGATTTGTCATGTGACCACAGAGCGGAAATCACTCTTACCACACAGTGTACAAAATAGTTCTCGTTCATAAAAGTTTATCACGTGTGTGTTTAAGCTTTGGATTTGAATGATATTTATAATGATATTAGATATATAGATATTGTATAAATTCCACGAACAAGGGTGCTTGAATACATTAAAAGTTCCAATATAGGTTCATTTTTATATATTGGTCATCAAAAAATGGCCTTGTGAAACGAATTTTGTTAGATTCCCGTATTCGTATGTATCAGTTTCGTGAAACTTTTTTGTTATTTTAAAACTTAGAACACTTGTATTGCGTGGTCAATTGTATTTGTGTGTAGGTCTCGGGTGGACGCTCAGCAAACCCAACATTATCACAGTCTTTACCGCACAGCAAGTAGTGATTCGCATTTTCAGATAAGCCTCCACATTCACAAATCTTATGTTTCATTTACCGACAGAATCATCCGTCTATGGTGCCAGGATGGCAAATTCTAACTTATTATCACACTTTATATTCAGATATGCACGCATTTACTATGTAATGTAATTCTAAAGAGAAATGGTCTATTATATTTATTAGTATTCGCTTTGAGAGTCATGGTTAAAGCTTCTAAAAGTCTCTCCATTCTACAAAATTTCTGTAAATTAAACCAGAAATATATTATCACGTAGACATGTACATATTAACTTGGTTCATTAGCGATGAGAGCATGCACAGATAGGTCGTTTAGCATTCAAAAAGCCAGAATTGACTACCAAATTTGTGAGGGCACAATTCTATTTTGTGAGCCTCTTCTTCAATTCGGACTTTGTCATTACGTGATCAGCCGTTGTGTGGGTATCTTTAATTTACACCATTCACTTTTCAGTTTAACATTGTCCGGTAGAGCATGGTTATGCAACAACACTCATGGTAAGAATGGATTACATTGCAACTGAGTGAAATGAAACGAATCAATAATGGCATTATAAGATTTCAATGACTACACAACGAGAATGCAGCCTGAGACACATCTACAAGAAAACAGTAGCATGGGATATGTGTTTTTTGATACTTGTTATCGCCTCGGCTGTTAGTAAATGTAGTCGAACGAGTTAGATTGGTGTAAACACCATATTGTACTAACAGTATTGTAAACATAAACAATCAATATGTCATGTGACAAAGAGTGGTACACATGTTTCATACCTGGTATAAAAATGTTGTCATTTACTCATTGACGTTAATTTATATTTTATGGCGCCATCTTATTTGAATTTGTTGTACTTTGACATCGAGATCACACGTACGATTGAATGTTATCAATTATCGTTTGTACGTTTTTTTATTTATCTTTTTTTTTTGAGAATTGTGAAATTGGTTATGTCAAAGTTAACTCTGCTATGCACCAAATCATCACGTTATTAAATTACAATGTAACGTTCGTTGATTGTTTCCTCAGTAAATACCATTGTAAGTCAATGCGAAGCTACTTAATTTATTATTTTTTTAAATGTAACTTTTAAGTTGGAACGTAAACTCATAATAACTTTATTAGAATCTTTTGTTCAATGGTATTAAAGACATTTTCAAAACCCATAATTAAATATACATAATCCTAATATTAATTTGTTATCGAAAATGTTATTAGTTGTAAAGATGCAATTCATTTCATTCATAACCCAAATTGAAAATTAATTATTACTATTTTGAATAGCGAAATATTGTTTTTTATTTTTTATTTATATTTAGATATACTTGTACAAATAGTTTTTTAGTTGATTGGTCCAAATTAAGTACTACATTTTAGTGTAATGGTTATACTATGAGAAAGTGGTTGACAAATATATAAAGCACAATCTCTAATAAGCTGACGACGCAGATTGACTTTCTTGAACTTGATAGTTTTATTTTCATATTTAGCAGCTAGAGTTGTTATAGGATGGAAATAGATATGAATATATTTATTGATAAATCGAGATCTGAATATACGCAGTATGTGCAGCCAGTTTTCGTTACATTTGAACTTGTTATTTATACCATGTTTATTCTATAAAAAAAACATAATCTAATAAGCTTCGTTATTGTTTGGTATGTCTGATTTGAGTTTTTAGCCTTTAATTCATTCATCGTTTTTTCGGGTTTTATTGGTTATAATAATCAATACTTTGAGCTTTCTTAGAATTCAAAATATTGCAGTACATTTATTTAAGTTATGTTTTTGTTTACTTGTTAGACTGATTCAAACTAGATTTTTGAAAGTTTGTGCAAGATTGTGAACTATAAAATGACGGAAATGTGTGAACATTTGATTTTGTCAAAAGATAAATATTCATGTATGTTTAACTTTTTTTAAATAATTTTTTTCCTAGTAGTACTGCTTATTTACTTTTGTATTGTGTGAATAATAATCTCATATTTAAATTAGCTCACTTCTAAAAATATTAGCTTTCTATATCAAAGTGAATCTCATATATATTCACTATTATCATGACTGCAAAACACACCGATGTATAGAATGATAGATGTCTATAGTACCCTAGCTTTTAGCATAGACTACTAACTCAACTCTCGCCTAGCTGACTTTTAGTAAGCCTGCTATACCCAACCCTCGTCTAGTTGATTTTGAGTATCGCCTATTATACCCAACTCTCGCCTAGCTGACTTTTAGTACAGCCTACTATACCCAACCGTCGCCTAGATGATTTTGAGTACCGCCTATTGTACCCAACTCTCGCCTAGCTGACTTTTAGTACAGCCTACTATACCCAACCGTCGCCTAGATGATTTTGAGTACCGCCTATTGTACCCAACTCTCGCCTAGCTGCCTTTTAGTACAGCCTACTACTATATCAAACCCTCGCCTAGCTGATTTTTAGTACCTTCTATTGTACCCAACTTTCGCCTAGCTGACTTTTAGTACAGCCTACTATACCCAAATCGTGTCTCGCTGATGAGTACCGCCTATTATGCTCGACACCCAAAAAGCGAGCTTTGAGTAACGCCTACTATACACAGCTCACGACTAACGATCACTGTGTACCACATACAAAAAACATACATCATACAAAACTCTCGAGATTTTATTTTGGCCTATTATACCAAACTTTCGCCTAGTGAGCTTTGAGTATACACCACACAATTATTATGCCCGACTATCGAGTAGCGGATAATAACAATTATACAAAACTCTTGCCTAGCTGACGTTGAATATCTTAATATATATCTAATTCTCGCCTAGCGAGTTTCGAATAACGCCTGTTATACCGATATTTCACCAAGTGGACTTGTAGGACTGCAACTTTCTCCGGGTGAGTTTTGAGTGCTGCGTTATAACTCCCGCCTAAATGACTTGAAATATTGTACATTATACCAAATTACTGCCTAGCGAGCTTCGACTACAGCTTATTATACCAAACTCTCGCCTAACGAGTTTTAGATACCGTCTATCATTATGCGTAACTCTGTCTTAAAGGGTTTGAGTACCGCCTACTGTACCATTGGGGGTGGGCACTTACTTAAAGGAAAAGATATATTAAGCATATAGGGGTAAATATTTTGGATAGGCACGTTGCGTGTTTAGGGATATAAGTGGCCGTGTTCAAATATCTAACGTACTCCGCGACAAATTACCAAAGGATAGATCTGAAATGCCCCGTTCCAGGCTTTCCAATAGCAGAAGAGAAACGACTGCAGAATTTTTCCTGCAGTTATGCCATTCATTTTTCATATGGTCACGTGGGCGCGAAATGCAATGACGTACAGCTTACGCATATCGAATATTTTGAATAATAAATCCCCAGAAACCTAAAATACAGAACAAGAGTAAATTTAGAATATAATATTAATTCACGACCACACCACCCCCTGGTTGGCCTTCGTTATCTGTGCGTTTTGGTTCAATAATTAAAGTGACTGTAAAAAGGACAACCCAACAGAAGTTATTACACGTTGATAAGTTGCATTGACGTGTTATAACGGACTCCGGGGAGCACTCGTAAATATAAGTATGGAT